TTGATTGACCTAGGACTAAAAGAGAAGTTATTTTAAAGTTGCATATCCCAATGTGAGGGTATTGTGTTGTGGTTTTCCAAGAGTCCAAATTTATTGAAAATTCTTATTAGGAAGTTGACTCTTTAATTAGATAATTGTGTCTCCTCTAGGATCTTAGTTGATTCGATATATGACCATGTTGAGAGATATTGACTACAAGCGACCACTGTTTATCCGTATGTGGGAAAGGTTGAGACATACGTGTATCAAGCGACCAAATTATAGTAAGTTGATACAAGGTTGGGGATTAGAATCCCTAATTACGTACAAGAAGGACGTAGCGTTTGGAGGGTGGTTGGTGAGTTAATCTCGTAGATGACTTTGTTATGTTAACCGATGTTGTGATAGACTCATACCCAAGTTGTTCTACCCTAATAAAAACACTAGACTTCCTAGTTTAAGTGACGACAGCTGAGAAATCATTTTGTAGGGATTGATGTTCCATTTGGTTGTTGAACTAGCCGATGAAAAAAGGTTGAGTTGTTGGTTCGGTAGGGTCAAGTCACTTAAACTATTCATTTGTGTTGTAGGAGATTTTCATAGTTGAGATGTGTGACAACACATATAATTGATTATTGTGCATATGTAATTGTGTTGCTTTGTTGTGCGATACATATGCTATGTTATTATTGTTGATTGAGTTAGGTTGTTGAACTCTTTGAATTCTAACTTACCCTTATATGTTTTCTATATGGTTGGATTACGATGATCATACTTTATATGGGAGCAAAGCGAAGATAAGCATGTAGAGTTGTTTGTTGGAGGCTATTTGGCAAATGGTGGCATAGATGTTGTTTTGTGCTACCTTGTGTAGTTAGTCTATAGATATTTTTTTGACCGACAACTTAGCTTATATATTTAACACTTACTAGATTATTGTACTTATACTATTTTATACTTGTATAGTTGTTTTACACTTATATACATGCTATAGAGTATACATCCAAGTATTTGTAAATATATAATTATAAGTAATTAGTTATTTTTGTTGTTAATTGATAAGTCGTTAAATATAACAATCATAATGGATTATTACACTTATAGGAGAAAAGAATTAAAAAAAAAATATTAAGATATTAAATTATAATAAAAAAATTGACATATTTTTTAACTCACTCTTTATTATTAATTAAAATTTATTAAAATATATGATTGTGTAAATTATTCTTAATAAATTTTATTCATAAAATTTATATTAATTTTTAATAATTTCTAATCAACAATAAAGAATCATATAAAATAAATAAATTAATAATATAGGATCAAGAATATGTTATCAACATTTCTCTTAATAAGCTTACCAAAAAAAACATTTCTTTTTGTAGATAATTCGTAGATAATTGATAGTTATCTACCGATTTTCATGCTTATCTACAGATTTTTTTCTGTAGATAATGTTGATTTTTCTTGTAGTGTTAACTCGAAAAATAAACAACCTTAGGCATGACAAAACCTGTACATGTGAGAACTAGTCTTACCCAATCTCGATTTTAACAGGAAAAACTTGCTTTAACGTGATACGAGTTTAGGTATTAGAATCTTTGCCTTGCTTTTTACACTATTGTGTTATAGCAACTATATATATATATATATATATATATATATATATATATAATATAAAATAGTTAATTTTACATTGTTATTTAATCATAAATTATTGTGTATCAGTTTGTTACCTTTTACCATAATAATCTAAAAAATTATATAACTGATAATTTATTGGTTGATGTTGGTGTATGATTTCATAACCCACCCAATCAATCGGATCTAGTTTAAATGAATATATCAAATTATATAATAAATAATTTATTAAATTAAATCTAACCGTTTGTATGTAGTGTGAACTTCATTCGATGAAAGTGAAATAGGATCGCATATGGTTCTATTGAAGTATTTGAGAAATTGTGGAAAATATTTGGGTTGAAAATTGAGTTATGTTTCTGAACTACATTACAAAGTCGAAAGAAATTGAATTGATCTTCCGACCTAACTCGTTGAAAAAGGTTTATTTAGCGTACAAGTGTTTCCTAATCCTGTAGAATTTTCTTTGTTTTTTCTCACTCATTAAATGAAGATTAATGTACAAAAATACTGTTGTTCTATTACTAATTGTAGGATCACAAAAAAAGTAATAATATATATATACACACGTAATTCTTGTATAAAAGATAATCATAGTAAGATATTGACATACTGTGGTTGAGCTTTCAGATGTGTGTGGGACAACTCAACTCACAACTCACACATGAATAAATAATGGATAAAGGACCCCAAACAAGGATAAGGATAGGGATAAGTCACTTCTATCCATGACAGAGACTCTTCCATTTTACTTTTCTAAGTTGTAAATATTATTTTAAAATTAAATGATTATGTTTTGTTTGTGCCCCTTTGTCTCTTTTGTTTTTTAGCTCCTTTCAAAAAAGAATTAAAAGTAAAGTTACTACTTCATGTTATTTTTATAAGAATCAAAAAGAAATTAATTAATTTAGGAGTGTAATGAAATTTATCATAAATATTTTTTTTTCATTATTTTGACATTAATACAAGAGATATTATAAATTAGTTCATATATAAAATAAAATTAAAAAAATAAAAAAACTAAGTCAAACACTAATATATTCTAGATTTTAAATTTTGAAATAAAAAATGAAAGTCAAAAGTTCTTAAAACTTTTTTTTTTTAAATTCATTTAAAAATTATTTTGTATAACTATCTTTGAGAGAAGAAAAAAACTCAAGTTAAAAAAAATCTTATTCACGGTTGAGTTTTGACTAACTACTAAATAGAGGATAGTGCTTAATCTAATGATTTCTTATATATCATTAATTCTCTATGTTATTTCTTATCTAGGTTATCCAAAAATCTTATCCAAGTCAAAAAAAAAAAAAGTTCTGGGAAGTGTATGCTTCAGTTTTTAGCCCAATCTTGAACCACTGGGTCCAGTTCATTGGGTACACCTTACCCGAAGCCCACAACCCAAATCTCTTTTCAGTCCAATCTAGTTCTCACTTTTAGTTTTTAGTTCCGATCTATGACTCATATTTGTTGGTTTAATTATGTTTTTATCTTTTTATTGCAACTAATGTGTAACTTTAATCTTTAATAAATTTTTTACTTAATTTTATTTATAATTTATGCTTAATTTAATTTTTATTTTTTAAAATTATTATAATCCAATCTTTGGATTATTTAAATTAATATAATCAAGTTTTTCCCCTAACTTTCTCAATTTCATTTTTCAAAGTTATATCTTTATTAACAAAATCTCCATGAACTGAACCCATTTAATCATTTAAAATTTCAAACTCTTACATTGAAAACATCATACTTGAACAAAGTTAAAATTAAAAAAAAAATTAAAACCTTAACCTTATATATCAAATCTTTTGACTTTCATCTTATATGGGAGATGATGCTTTGTCTTAATCTAAATTTTTTATCACCAAAAAAATACGAAATCTTTTGAACTTATCCTTCACGTGAATTTCATTAAAATGGTGCAAGTTTTATCTCCTATTAATGAAGTCCGTTTATTAAATAATAAGACAAATAAAGCTAACCTTATAATAAATAATATATTAAAAAACAAATTTGATAACATTCCTCTGCTCCCCAACATACTTTACAATCGACTCTGTACGATAATTAATATCACTTGCACTTTGCAACGAATATCGCCAACATCCTCACTATTGTCATTACTTTCATCCTCTTAGGGTACAACGATGTTTCCTTTATACCGAAACTAATAGATATTGTTATTTTTTTATACGATAGACATCAATAAAGTTTAAACATAAGATCTCATCTAAATTATTCAAACTCTATTACTAGGCCAACTAGTAGCTATTATTATTGCATCACAAAGCATATCCCAAGTTTCTATTTAGACATTTAGAAATTTCATTCCTGAACTTATCGAACTCTTGCGTTAATCTGTTATGTAAACTAGAGAGAGACAGAACACGGTTTAAGCATATCAAAAATAACGAATGATATTATTGAAGTTAAATAAGACATGATTACATAATAAATATCTCCAAATACTTCTCTAAAATATAAAAATGGAATTAAAAAAATCACTTGTGAAAAAGAAATGCAAATCCAAGCATGTTAAAATGTATAAATAAGGCTTAAACTTTAATTTTAAACTGATAAAACACCATTGAAGCATCAAGGATGGGAAAGAGAGCGGTAGCTTTAGGATTTGAAATTTGAAAAGCTCTGAAACTTTAATTAACCATAATTTTTTTTAATTACACGCATCATAACCATGATTTTTATTTTAATTATTACAAGTTTAATTCTACATTGACAAATCGATTTTGGATGCAAAATTAATTTTAAATTAAAGTAACTCTTCGATTAAAAATTTTACACGTACTTAATTTTACTACTATGAAAACATTTAGATATAAATCACATTACATCAAAATCAATTTTGCCATGCTCATCTGGGGACATGCATAATTAATAACTTAAGCAAGGATTCATAGGCTGTGGGTCCTACTCCTATCCCATTTACTACAATAGAAAATGGTTAGGAGTTAGTAGTTGATTAGGACCCAAACCCAACAAATATCTAATCAATTACTCTAACTAAGGAAATACCATTCATTATCTTCACCGGATTCAAATCTCAAAAGCAATAGATGTTGGTCAACTACAGCAATCTTTTCCATGATAATTGGAATCTTAAATTTTGTGTAGATGAGGATTGGTTGGAACTAGGAAAGTTAGTTTAATAACTAGCACTCCCACCATCTTTAGTCCTTTAAAGTTAATGACAATCCATAACATGTATCTGTTACCCTTCCCCCCTTCTCTCACATTAAAGTTTTAGCAAGACCAACTATAATCAAACAAAATTAAATATAGTAAAATATGCGTGAAGAACATTGTTCAACTATTAAACATGCATGTTCTTCTAAGAAAGCAGATCAAGACGCTTGGAAAAATTATAACAGTCAAACGAAAAACACTCTTTATTGTGTAAAGACAGTGCCATCAAAATTCTACAAAAACAATGTGACAACATCCTCGGCCACTCTTTCTTGGATGGCTTGATTTTATAAACATGTACTCTGGCTAAATTTCCAAATTCCAGGAACAGGAAAGGAAATTAAGAATCAACGTTCACTTCGGACTAGACATGAAAATACCGTAAATGAAGGTGTTGAGTGTTGACCTTAAGCAGCAGCAGTAATGAACTGTATTGCCTCTTTGCAAATTCCAGTCATTGTGGCTTCGGGTCCATAAACCTGTAATAAAGATATATTACCGAAAAAGATTAAAGACAGTTCCTAAGGAAAATTTTCCTAACAGTATCAGTTGGGTTGTTCAATACTCCATTACTGCGGAGTGCTAGTAACATACTCCTGGTTAAAGTTAATTGAAGACTACAAAATCATGAGTGCAACTTATTAAATAATAAGTAAGACTAACAAAATTTTGTGATTTCCAATAAATTTCAGCTAATAGTAGAGATTGTATTAAAGAGTATGTTACCAGCATTTATGATATTATCAATAGTAAAGGCATGAGTTATCTAACCTCAATGGGGATGCCAATCTCATCTCCAAGTGCTCGCATTAAAGCTAGACCCTTCTGGTAGTTGGGACCACCTCTCCTCACATAGATGTGCATCCTTGCTGCTTTCAATTTTGATTCCTGAATTGGAATTCAACCCTCAATTAACCCTACCACAAGAAGATTTTCATCATACATCTGAACCCAAGCTCAGTGATCAAAGGTTTACCTTCTCCTTTAGTGCCCGAATTATACCACTAAACGTAGCAGCAACATCAGTGAAGTTGGCTATGCCTCCTCCAATCACAAGAGCTCTCTTCTGGCCATCAGGGTTTGCAGTTGCACACTGGAAAGAAAAAAAGGAGATTATAATCGATACAGAATAGATATGGTATCGGTTGCAAACTTAGCATGCATATCATAAGCTATATTTGGATTTGGACACTACAAACAAGGACTGCATGATCATGTGAATGCAAATGATAAATCTCTAAATTGATAGTAAAACCAAAATTTAAGAAAAGATGTAGGTTAATTACATCAATTACAACTCTGGCGTACTGCAAGACCTCCTCTTCTTTGGGTGCACCGCTGTATTCGGCATAGTTTCCAAGCTCAGATGCAAAGCCAAGATCTCCTACCTGTGTTAATATTTGTACTATGTTAGCTGTCACTTAATGCTACAAAATATGGGTACTGGTTATGACTTTGGTTTTAAAATAAGAGAAACACACCGTATCAGCATAGATGACACTAGCACCTCCCCCAGCTACCATTGTCCAAATTCGGCCCTTTGGGTTCAACACTGTGAATTTTAAAGATGCACTTGTCTGCAATATTAAATAAGCAAAAAAATAACTATCAAAATTGCAACTATAAGCAATAGTATTATTGCATTCATCATAAATTATTCATGAATGTTGTTAAAGAAGTACGAGGATTAAGACCAGGTGATACTGAGAACCTAAACGGATTTGGGTAAACAGTTTAATTAACCAATTATTTAATAAGCTTTTATCACATATAGCTTATGTTATAAATTTACCACAAAACTTGTTTAAATAAGATGAGCTTATTTTGATAAGCTTCACCAAGAAACTTATTGAAATAAGCTAACAAAAGCTTATATGAGTCATAAATTTTCATTAGTTAAAATAAGTTTCTCATTACCTATAACTATAAGCACTTCCAAATACCCCCCCCCCCTAAAGCATGTTTACTTCCCGAGATTCCTCCAGGTGGATTACAGAAAAATAACAGGTTCATTATCATTACTCAGCCAAAGAATTTTTTTTACCCTAGTAAGGAGAAAAAACAATGTATGTATATGTACTATGTACAAACAAACGCAAACACACATCATATGGAAATAGTTTTAACTTAATTGCTTTAGATTGTATATGCAAGTCAAAGTTATATTTGTGCACCTTTTCATCTAATCCATGAATGAAAGACTCAGTGGCACTCATAACCCTTCCAAATGGTAGTGGAAATTCAATGTCTCCCCATCTACAACAAATTCCACCGTATATGTTAGTTTAAAAATATTAACTGCAAAACATCCACCGGTTTTACATTATAAAACAGAAATCTAGTATTCTATCCTTGAAAATAATACTTGGCATTCATTAGAGGGAAAGAACCTACTTCTTGAAGTTCTTGAAAGCAGCAGTGTCATCTAGCTCGCCTCTCATATCCAAAGGATAAGGCTTTCCATTAACCAATGTGAAAGGATTCATCTCTAAGAAAGTGAAATCCAGGTCTAACACAAAAGAAAAGTAAATAAATAAATACATAAAATAAAGGAAAATGGTACCACTAAAATGTAATTGTGACTTAAGTCAATTGCATATGCGCATCCCCTGATGTTTTGATAACTTGATGTATATATTTTGTATACCTTGAAACAGAGTGAAAACCACTTTGAGAAATTCCTCAATTTCTCCCTTGATCTGTAGAGAAAAAGTACAGGATTCAATCACATGTCCCGATTGATTTACATCAAAAATCAAAGTAAGATGCATAAACACTACTATGGAAAAATGTCCAAAGTTAAACAATTCATAAAATAATGAATTAGCAGTTAAATTGAATTTACCTCCAAGGGAAGGGTTGCAACAAGTGGGGCAACGATTTCTGACGTAATAGATATGCCTGTTGGAACAAATACAGTCTTAACCTGAAATATGAATTAGCCACTTTGTAACACAAATAAGGATAAATTTTACATGGACAAATATAGTATTTAATCTGAAAGGTAAATAATATGCACTGTAGTAGTGTAGTACCTTATCCCAGTTATCTTCAATTTCAATTCCTCCACATTCTGAAAAGCTTATGCTGTTCCCAAGTCTCTCGGAGACAATGTTAAGGTAAAACTCTTCATTGTGTGGGATGAAAGGTTCAACAATGAAAGTTGTTATGGGTCCCTTGCATCCACTCATCTCAACCTATATATTAGAGAAAGACATGACTAAAATACATCAAGGGAGGAAAGGGAAACATCACGAACAACTGAAAAAATTAAGAGTAAATCACCTCTTTTCCAAGACGCTCTTTCACAAACGAAACAACTTGTGCAAAATCCAAATTCAAGGCAACCAAACCGCTTTTGCCACGCTTTCCAAATAACATGTCAGGCTTCACAACCAATTTGGATGATGAAAGCCAAGGTTCCTTCTCTTGTAGCTCAGTGAAATCAGTTGATACAGTAATCTTGAGACACAAACAAACAAATTCATTGATCATTACAAGTTCAACAAGCACCATGCTACAAAGCGACATTTAGAATGGTAACCGATTAAAATTTTAATTAGAACCTACCTACCAACAATGTGGATTTTTTTTTTACATTACATCCAATCATAAACTGTCATGTATGCTAAAATTGTTGACTTTTATAATATCTATTTTAAAGTCATAATCAAGGTGATTTTTAATTGGTTAACAGTATAATTTTTTTTACAATGACAGTATATGAAAATTAAACTCAGATTATTGATTTCTGACAAAAAAACTAGATTTTTTTATTATTTTCATTTGCATTCTCATTATAAAGTAGAATAAATAAATAATACATACACAGACAATATAAAAGTTTTTACATTGTCATCCAATTACAATTTGTCATGTATAATATGCTTATTTCCTTTTGTAATAACTAACTTAAAAAGTCATATAAATGATGAATTCTGATTCCTTGACAATATAAAGGTCGTTTAAATGGCCACCCAATTACGTATTGTATGTTGGTAATTGTTGACTTTTATAATAACTACATTAAAACTCAGCAAATATGATTTCTAACTCGTATGTGTAAAAAATTTTATCCTGAAAGAGCAAGCCTATTAAACTCTAAGTAAATAAGATGACTCAAAACTCTTAGTAAATAAGATGACTTAAATGAGCAATCAAAGTTTCTCATTGAAGTGAAAGTGAACTTGTCCTGAGTGTTAACAAACTCTAGTTGATAGATCTTACGCATAATCGAACATTAATGTTTATAGTAATTATAGTAACCAAGTCATGACAAGAGTACTTACTTGTGCAGACTTGATCGGCAACTCCTTGCCAGAGAGTCTCTTAAAGTGCTCCTTCAACAACCTCTTGGAGTCGTACTCTCTGATCTTCTTGCGCGCCATTTGTTCTTACTCTGTTTCTTCAACCAAACAACCCAATCATCAATAATTCATCACAACAGATCTGAACAACAACAACCACATGCAATAAATTGAAACACCAAATTCCCTGCTCCCCCCATTATAACCAAAAATGGAAAGACCCATCTCAAATTAGCTTCAGGGGACCTCGAAATTGAGATCAAAATCTTAGCTTTAAGACTCGGGAGATGGTAGCGAACACGTAGAAACATGAAAGAAAGGATCAAAGGGAAAGGGTGTAAGGAATTACCGTTGGGTAGAGAAAAGAATGAGAAAGAGGGAAGTGGGTGAGTAGTTAGATCTAACGAACGAGTGAACGAAGGATAAGAGTGTGTGGTGGGTGTATTTATAAGTGAAGGGGTTTGATTATTTTATTTGGGGAAATGGTGGTTGGGTTGGTGGAATGTAAGAGAGATATTGAAGAGGAATTAGGCATACACAAGCAGCACAATCACATGAGGGGTTACCCACCTACTTACTACTCTTTCCTTATCATCAACGTCTAAGTTTCATCTTTCATTCAACCAGTAGTTGGGCGTGTTGGGTACACATATCCGACTTTGTATTTGGAGCAATGTGATTGAAAAGAAAACAAATATTTATATATTAGAGGAATATAATGGAGAAATGTAAGAGCTGTAGTTGTTAGTTGAGGAAAGTGTGTAGATTAATATTTATTTTTTTATGAGTGAAATGGTAAATAGGAGATAATATTTTATGATTATTGAGGACATATCTGAGATGTTTAGATCAAGTATAATTGTCTAATTACTAGTTAGTTGAAGTTCGGTAATGTTTAGTTTGTTTTAGAACTTTACTTGTTAAATTGAGAGCTAATAAAGATCTATTAAACGAATATTCTTTTGGTATCAAATAATTTTTTTTGAATAAGTATGCCTAATTAAATAAAATTTTATGGCAGAGATATTGAACTTGCTTCATAGAAAGTGCAAGTTTAAATCAAATCTCTTAGTATTTATTAGAGCTGTCAAAATGGGCTCAGCCCGGTGAGCCAACCCAGCCCACCACGGGTTCGAGCCGGGTTGGGCTAAAAAAATTTTGCAAATTTCAGTGTGGGCCAATTTTAAACCCGGCTCACCCGGGTTCAACCTGTGGTGAGCCGGGCTGACCCACCAGCCCATAAAAAAAAAAAAAAAATTTCTGCTATTGGGTTGGGCCAAATAAAACTTCATAGACCATCATAGGTTCTCAATTTTATGTATTTTTTCTTCAAATTATGTAATTAGTGTAGGAATTTATTTACTTTTCTCTAGAAAAGCTTATGTGCATACTATTTTTGCAGGATTAGGCATTAAATTTGATTACATTTTTTTAAATTAGGTGATTTTTTCAAATTAGGTGAGCCAACCCGTTTAGCCCACCAACCCGTGGTGGGCCGGGCCGGACTCAATTTTTTCCAGCTCACCAATAAACGAGCCGGGTTGGGTTGGCCCACCAAAGGCTCAACCCGTGGTAGGCCGGGCCGGGCCGGGCCGGGTTACCCGTTTTGACAGCTTTAGTATTTATGTTAACCCATGATAATAGTAAATTATTATATACTTTATGATATTGAACTCCATTTTAAGAATAAAAAAATATAAAAGAGAAATGTGTAAAAGAAAAACATAGATTTTAAGAATAAAGCTTTGATGTATTTTAAATTTATGAAAATCAATATTTTCTCTGCATTTATATTTAAACAAAAACATGATTTTATAAAGATTAAGAAAGTCGGTTGAATTAATTCAATATTCATGATTTCATGTAAAATATAAGCTACATTTTATAAAATATTTAATATTTTTAAAATTAAACTAGTCTAAGCATTAGTTTGAAGTTCAATGGTTTAACTATAGTTGAATCGTGATCAAACCAACATGAAAATTATTATTATTATTATTATCATCATCATAATAATAATAATAAATAAATATAATATTATAATATTAAATATTAAAATAAAATATTATTTATAGATTCTTAATATTTAATATATATGTAAAATTTTGAATTATATATGATATAATATTTAAGTTTAAGTTTTGATAAAATATAACAATGCTTAGTAATAATAAGTTTACATCTAGAATAAAAAGCATCAAATTAATATAATATAAACTATAAAAAAAATAAAGATGTTAAAAATTATAAATTAACATAAATTATTAAATTATATTTATGAGAGATATTAAAAATAAGTTATTCTAATTTATAACTTTTATAAAATATTATTTAATTTAAAAATATTTTAAAAATATATATTTATTTAATTAACTCGGGTCAAACTATTTGAGTGATTTTTTACAGTTTTTGACCGATTTTGAATCCATTCTACCGATTTTTGATCGGTTCTCTATAGAACTATTTTCTGGTTGAATAGAGTCTCTTTTAAACCGATTTTATGTTCGATCAGCCAATTTGATATGATTTTCATAACTATGAAAATGTCTTTAACCACAATTATTATACATGTAGCTTCTACTTATTGTTTAAGGGGTGTTTTTAAAATTGTAGTACTCCATGTTAAATAAATTTGGATGGACTAAATTTATTTATATTCAAATCCAAAAAATTTAAGTATTTTTTCTTATGTATAAGTTTAGAGAAAATACTTTTTTTAATAACAAATGTATTTCTCTAAGTGATGATTAAAAATTAATTATTTTTACTTGAAATAAATTTCTTCCATAGAGTCTTTCTTACCAATCATGTTGTTCACTTATTCTTAGTTTGATTGAAAATGAGATGGGAAGAGGAGGATGAAAATTACTTCTTTGTTTATCTGTCATTCAAGTAAAAAAGTAAATTTTTTTTGGTTAATCTCCTATGCAAATTGCTTCCATTACTTCTTGACATGAAATTGATTATTTTTATACAAGAATTACAATTTCAACAAATGATAAAATTAAAAAAATAATGATGATAATAAAGTTTAATTTATAATTATATATATATATATATATATATATTAT